ACACGCGGAGTTTCACGTTTCACGGCTCTCACGGGCCAGATCCCTAGGGGGAGGCGAAACTATGACACTCAGCGTCGCATTTTTTTGAATTTTTATTTTTCCCGTCGTGTCGGGACCAATAAAAATCTGGAAAAATTCCAAAAACTTTTGCATTTTTTCAACTTTTCTTCAATTTTTTTCTCTATTTGTTTCATTGTTTTCAAGCTTGTCATTGTCTGTGTTGAGTTGTTCTATTATATGTTATTAGTAGTATGTTATTAAGGAGTATTGTGTCATTTTGGGGCTGTAGATATGCCACCAGTCTTCTTCTGTGATCAGGTGCAGAGTTCGATGCTGTTCAGAGTATGGTGAATTTTGCGTTTCTAACTTTGTTTCAAATGCGATTCAGTTCTTTCAGATCAGTTTGGAAAGACAAGTCTACCTGTCAGAATCAAGAGAGGGGTAACAGTTAGGCTTTCAGATCGGCTTCTTCAGTTCTTTTTTTGTTTTATTATAACTGTTTTCAGGCTTTGTATTTGATATTTTGACTTATACAGTTCTTCCTTCTCACCATAATAGATTCTGTTTCAACAGTCATCGTCGTTGAATCCTGGGCTCTCCAATATCTAGATCACGTGATAGTTCCGTTAGTCTATCAGTTATCTCTGCACCATTTCAGTATGACGGTAGAATGTCCCCAAGGAGAGTTGTTCTGTTCCATGCCGGCTAGTAACAACAATGATCCTTACTTCGCTAAGTGTTGAGGGTATTTTCAATTTCTATTATGTTATTAATATGAAAATAAGAAGTTCAGGCTATAGAGGTGTGTCTCTCCAAGAACTATAAGGCAGAGTAACCGAGACTATAAGAAGCTTCACGGTTAGTTCTGATATGTTTTGAATTCGTTTCAGACATCTACTAGTTGATGTACATGACACTCCATCAGTGTCTGATTTTCCTCNAAGTGCAGAGCTCAGCCTGAAGTTCTCATTTGATAGATGTACTGCACTGTATTGACCCCCTGCGACAGTCTTCGTCAGTAAAGGAACCAACGATCTCAAAGATACTTTACTACTTTTCTGTGTTAATTAATGATTTCAATAAAGCTTTCATAAATTCTTTGTTTGTTCTTATTTCATCATGTGTCATCAAGAAATCACGTAAC